AGGGAAAGGGAAAGGGAAAGGGAAAGGGAAAGGGAAAGGGAAAGGGAAAGGGAAAGGGAAAGGGAAAGGGAAAGGGAAAGGGAAAGGGAAAGGGAGCTCTGGCCCCCCTTGGATCCAGCGGTGTGTTCGGTCTGTCCTGGCCATGCCCCTGTGCTGGGCTCGCCCTTTCCCCCCAAAATGAGTCTTTTAAAGCCCCGGAGCTGTGGCCGGGCAGATCTGAGGTTTCACCACCACACCCATAAACTCTCCCTTTACCCTCACTCAGAGGTGCAGCCCCAGCCCCAGCRAAGCCCCTCCTGCCTTTCCCACCTGTCAAGGATTTGAGGCACTCACATTTCATCTTTCAGTGTCACCCCGTTGTCCCCAGACAGGTTTCCCAGCCCTGAATAAATCAAACACTTCACCCTGTGTCCACACTGGGTGAAAGAACCTGTTCTGRGACAACACCACCACCCCGTGGCTCAGAGCCTGTTAAATCTCCTTCCTGGGAATTCTTCCTCTTCCACAGTGGTGATTGCCACGTAGCAAACAGAAGGATGAAAGAGAAGACAACAAATGAATAATTCTACAGTGAACAACAGCAACGCCAATCCTTAGGAATATAAATCCCACTAACCACTCATTTCATCATCCATTTCGCCATCCTGTGAGCCCCAGAGGCTTCAAGAGCCACAGAATCCGTGGTTTAGGACTCCATCCACCAAACCAGTCCGTGGGTTGYGTTACCAGAGCACTCCCATGTTTGCTCAGCACCTTCTCTCACCTCAGCTCGGGCTTCTTCTGTGGAAACAGCAGCGCTGTGGATGCAGCGTTCCCCGTCGGTGAAATTTAACATTCCACGTACCCCCCGTTCCTTTAATCACAACATTTCTAACGCTGARGCATTCTGCAATGTCATCTTCACAGCCTGCCGAGCTGCACGTTTAATTCTCCAAAAGCACATCTTGTCTCGTTACTCAGAACCTGTGCTTGCCAAGCTAAATTTCCCAGAGCCCKCTGGTGTCTCATTATTACACTCCTGGGAGAGAAACCTGCTCCATGCCCGAGGGCTGGAGTCATTCTGAAGGTAAAATCGTGGGATTATGGGATGGTTTGGGTTGGAARGGACCTTAAAGCTCATCTGGTTCTTCCCTTCTGCCGTGGGCAGAACTTCCACCATCCCAGGCTGCTCCAAACCCCCTCCAGCCTGGCCTGGGACATTTCCAGGGATCCAGGGGCAGCCACAGCTTCTCTGAGCACTCTGTGCCAGGGCCTCAACCCCCTCCCAGGGAAGAATTTCTTCCTGATATCCCATCTAACGCTGCTCTCTCTCAGTTTGAAGCTATTCCCTCTTGTCCTGTCGCTCCAGTTCCCGACGAACCCTGGTGGGTTCTGCAGGGCTTGGTGTGGGACAGTGTGGGGTCCCTGCTCCCACTGCTGGTCCATGGAGGATCAACAGGGATTTTCCTCCTTCCCAGGGTGTGGGAGAGGCTTTCCTGGGCTTTCTGGGACCCGTGTGGGGGTCTGCAGAATTTTCCATGGCACTGCACCGACCCCTGATCCACCCCAGAACCCAGGATCCAATGGAGTTTCCGTGGGACACCGCAGATCCTGCTCCTTCCCAGGAGCTTTCCCAGGTTTTTCTGGGCTTTCTGGAACCCCTGCTCCCTCCCTCAGGGGCTCTGCAGAACTTCTCATGGCACTGCCCAGATCCCTGCTCCATCCCAGACCCCAGGGACCGGATGGAGTTTCCATAGGGCAGACCCCTTGCTCCTTCCCAGTGGCTGCAGTGGGATCTGATGGAGTTTCCATGGGACAGCAAAGACTCTGCTCCTTCCCAGGGTGTGGGAGAGGCTTTCCTGGGCTTTCTTGGACCCCTGTGGGGCTCTGCAGAACTTTCTGTGGCACTGCACAGACCGCTGCTCCATCCCAGAATCCAGAGACCCGACGAAATTTCCATTCTCTGTATTTCTATACTTTCAAGTGTCTGTATTGTACTTCTCTAGTGCACAACATTAAAGCTCCTGTTCTCACATCTTTAGACAAAACAATTTCTCTCTGGGCCTAAAATCCAAGGACACTTCGCTGCCTCAGAGCCCCAAAATATGGAAACAACAGAGAATTGTGGGGAGCAAGCTTGGGGTGGGTGACACCATCACCTGAAGGTGTCACTGGAGAATTGGGGCCCGAAATGTTCATAAGACAGAACTTATAAACGGTGAAGATCTCGTGACTCGGGGTCCATTTTGGGTGCAGCCTCAGGAGGAGGCTTTGTCTGCCCTCAAAGTACCGGCAGGCCTGGATTAAATTTGTCGGTTTTATTTTCTTCACTTTGTCTGGCGAGCCTCGTTTGAGGCATCAGTCCCTCGTCCCCTCAGCGGTCCTTCCTGCGCAGCGGTGGTGACGGGGGGTAGTGGCGGGTGGGGGGGACATCGTAGTGACAGGGGATGTGGCTGTTTTTGGGGGAGTCGTAGTGGCTGGGGGGGTCTCTGTGGGGAGGGCCCTCAGGATCCTCAGGACAACTCTCTGTGGGGACAAGAGAAAGCTGCAAGGGGTCATGTTCCCTCTAGGGTCACACAGGCCATGTCACCAATGTGCCCCAGGGGTCACACAACCCCTGCCACCAGGGTCATGTCCCACCCCCGCCTCCCCCCAGGGCATGCCCTGTCCCCAATGTCCCCCTGGGGTCACACAGCCCGTCACCGGGGTCACACTCCACCTGAGGGCAGTGCAGCCCCTGTCACCAGTGTCCCCCTGTGGTCACACAGCCCCTGTCACCGGGGTCACACTCCACCTGAGGGCAGTGCAGCCCCTGTCACCAGTGTCCCCCTGTGGTCACACAGCCCCTGTCACCAGGGTCACATCCCCGCCAGGGTCACGCAGTCCCTGTCACTAGGGTCATGTCCCCCCCCCAGGGCATGCCACTGTCACCAATGTCCCCCTGGGGTCACACAGCCCCTGTCACCAGGATAATGTCCCTGCTGGGCATGCCCCTGTCACCAATGTCCCCCTGGGGTCACACAGCCCCTGTCACCAGGGTCACATCACCCCCAGGGTCACACAGCCCCTGTCACCAAGGTCACGCCCCCTCCTGAGCAGTGCAGCCCCATTCACCAGTGTCCCCCTGAAGTCACACAGGCCCTGTCACCGAGGTCATGTTCTCCCCCCAGGGCATGCCACTGTCACCAATGTCCCCCTGGGAACACACAGCCTCTGTCACCAGGGTAATGTCCCCCCCAGGGTCACGAAGCCCATGTCACCAATATCCCCCTGGGGTCACACAGTCCCTGTCACTGAGGTCATGTCCCCTCTAGGGCAGTGCAGCCCCTGTCACCAATGTCCCCCTGGGGTCACACAGCCCCTGCCACCAGGGTAATGCCCCCCCCAGGGTCACAAAGCCCATGTCACCAATGTCCCCCTGAGGTCACACAGCCCCTGTCACCGGGGGGCAGTGCCAGCCCTGTCCCCAAGGCTGTTCCCACCCCAGACCACGCACTCCCCATCACTGGGGCTGTGTCCCCACTGAGCAGGTGACCAAGGMACCCCCAGCCGTACCCTCCTGTGGCGGCTCCTCGAGGAGCCCGATCTCGGCGTAGGACATCTCCCGCTTCACAGGGGATTTCATCTCCATGTAGCTGCCCTCGAGGGCCTTGGCCAGGGCAGGGGGCAGCTCCTTGATGGTGGCGTAGGGGTTTTCGCTGGCCAGGGAGCTGGAGCTGGCACCCAGCCCCTCCCGGGGGTGCTCTGGGGGAGGAGGCGGAGTTGGGGATCCCCCCATGGCAGGGAGCACAGGGGAGAGGGAGGAGTTGTGTTTAGGTSTGTCCCAGGCAAATCCTGGCATCATTCCTGCCCTATCCCAGCCCTGCCTCTTCCCCATCACAGCCCCATGCCAATCCTTATCCCATCCTCACCTGATCCAGTCTGATCCCAATCCGTCCTCAAACCACCCCTGCCCTTTCCCCATCCCTGTCCGTTCCACA